GCAGTGAGCAGAAATCTGAACGTATGTGAGATTAGTTGAGAAGAATCCAAAATTTTGTGCACATAATTTCTAGTGACTTTGCAAAAAAAAGAAAAAAAAAACCAAAGCGAAAGCGAAAACGAAAACGAAATGCTTAAAAAAAGTTGTGTTTGGATTGAACTGAATTTTTTCGCATCCATCAAATCTATTTTCCGCTGACACGACAAAAATCGTTGTTTTTTTTTTTTTGTTTTTACTTTATAAATCAATTCATGCAGGTCGAGAATACTAATGATGTTTATTTTTTATAATTAGTTGACAATCTCGTGTTGTGAGTAGTGCATCCACAACTTTTGGCCTCAATTCTGTGAACAAATAAAAAAAAAAAAACCAATAATAAGAAAGGGGAAGTTGGATGGAGCTTATGAATGAACATTAATTCGCTTTGTTGGAAGCACGAAAGCCTGCAATAAATCATAATAACTATGCCGTGGTCAGGTCTCTTAAAAAGATAACTAAGATTTGCATCTAGCTTTATGGTGTTTGTTAATGAACTCTTCAGCCTATTTTCATGACGACGATTTTAATAACGAAAGATTTTAGATTATCTATAAGCACTCGAAAAGCGGCTTTAAGCTCGTCACCTACGACACAAAAATATTTTATTCTTCTAGGTAAAACTTTGAAAACGTAATACTTCTTTAATGCAACACAGGGAGACCTAAATCTAAAATAATCAATTAAGGGTCTATTAAAATCTAAAAATTCCGATAAAAACATTACAACAGGCCACGGCCCGTATCCTACACCATCCTGCTCTTATTCACATAAAGACTTTCCAAACTAAGGACACTCTATAAGAAGCGGTTGAAAAGGTGGTCCGATTCGATCTATTCTCAATAGATTTGCCCAAAGTCGCCGATATATCAAATTTCATCAGAACGGGCGGATATTGGACGAACAGACGAATGGGCAAGCTTAGGTCGCATCACTGTCACCTTCTGTGCAATAAAAGGTAGATATATCTCACGTCCTTCTCGCTGTTACAAACATAACTGAACTCAGGCCAGAAGACTTTTATTCACCTTACTTGTAAGAATTTCAATTAACGAGACTTGTAACGAGATTGCAATCTTTCTATCAAGGAGAAGTGGATGAAAAGGCTGAGCAAGCCGTGTAGTTCTATTAAAGGACTTCGTTTATGAATAAACCTCGTATATCTCTGTAACATACTTGCCCGGTACGGAGCCCACATTACGCCAATGTCCAATGACATCGAAGATTTTAAAAAAATTCCCTCTTCGTCGCCCGTGGGCATCAAAGCCTTCCGCCGTATACGGTCGAAGATCCACAAAAAATTTTGGCGTTTCCGTCCACACATGTGAATTATACTCTAATTTTGCAGTGAAGTATTTTTTGCATCGCTTTACAAACCCTTGGCCATTGACTGCGTGTTGCCATCCTACGACCATATCTTCTGTCCAATCTAAATTTGTCACTTCTACAATTTATTTGCAAGTAAAAGAAGAGCAGTCTTTGCGTACACTAAGCCATTCAAAAGGAGTATGCAGCTGCATCTTATTGTTATGCTTACTTTAAGTCGCTGCGTAAATTCAAAAAAAAATAATAATAAAGTCTCTCTCTGCCTTGAAAAAGCTAAGACAAATGCTGTAAAATGGAAGAAGAGAGCGTCTACCACGTCACAGAAAGTCTGGCAGCGAAAACATGTTTTGGACGTAGAACTTTATCTTTAACTTTATTGTTGCTTATGTTCGTATTCGTGTAAAACAAATGAGTAACAAATCTGTTAAATATTCAAATGAAACACACAAAATAAGTGGAAGTTTCCCATCATCCACTTACATTACAACGTTTATAGATTTCCCGTTGTATACACACACTGACCTGCTACTCGTTCTCATATTACAAGCTCGTAAGTTTTGAATAACTTTTTCAAATTATTTTTGCGGAAGTGCTTGAAGTAAACGTAGCTGGATTGTTTCTCGTACTTATGTTACTAAATTATATTGGGCGAGGGCACCATACACAAGAATATATTGTTTAACTTTCGTTGTATCAACATAAAAGTACACATTTAAAGCATCGATATTTTAATAGACCAATAAAGTGTACGTTAACTTGTTGACAATATATGCACTATGGTGCATAAGTAATTTTAAGTAGTACAGGGAGCATTAGTTATTCTATACGGTCAGGTGTCGAATGCATGAAGTGAGAATCTTGACTTGATTAAAGATTAATATTCTAGTAACGTCCTATCTCTGAAAAAAAGAAAAAAGTTACTTGACTCGACTAAAGAAGTGGCATACAGACAAGGACGAAAATTGCCGCATAGAACCGGCATTGCTCAAGAAAGGCAACTACTTTGTCCTGAACTATTTTTCGACAAAATAAATGAATTAGATAAACTTTCAACTATCAAGAGCTTTGAAAGAGTTGTGTATATTCGTAACCAGATATTCGTAAAGAGGTTGTAGCCGTCACCTTCTGCTTGCTCTTCACTCGATCAATTCTTCCAGTTGTTTATCTATTTGTCTGTTCCTTTGTCTATTCGCTCGTTTGCACATTGATTGGTTGCTCTGTCCACTCGTTCGCTTACCGTTCATTTTAAACTTGACATATATACGTTGCACGAAATCTAACAAGTAAGAAAGTTATATTCGGCTAGGGACGAAACTCCCTTAGCCGCCGCCATTAATGTCTTTGGCGCATCATGATTTGATTTATTGTCATAAAACAGTGATAGCGAAAATATTTATCTCTCACTTCTTACTTCGTTAACAGGTGTTATTACGAAAAATTACCTTACCACGTCGTGACGTCCACCGCAATTTATTTAGAATTAACACATTTGCCTTTGTCGCCTTCTACTCCCCAAATCGTTTCATTTGATAACCCTATCGCTGGTATTATTAAGGAAGGAATTAATCCAGCAGGTCGCGATGTATACCACATTTTTAGGCACATATTATATCTTCACGTGAGAAATGTACAAAATAATTTTAAACATTCGGTCCGGGCGTTTAATTCATGATAAATAAGCATAATATCTCAAAAAAAGTAAAAATCGACATGACACGTATATAGCGCAGTTTTTTGTAAAGTAAATGAGGAAAATTTTATAATTTGTGGGAAACGAGCAAAACCCACAAACTTTTATTTACAAAAACAGTGTTGAAGTCAATATCTTCATTCTTGCGGCCAGGGGACAGTATCAATGACACACTCTACAGAGACATGGACAGCCGTGGCTTAATCAATCACGCTTAGATGTCTGTGTTCAAAGACATATATAACTTGACAACTATACCGATGGAGACTTATTATCATCTACAACTGAGCGCACGTTAGTAAAACGAAGGGCTCGATGGCATATACCTCGCAACTGCTAAGTCGGCGTTCACGCATTCAAATATCAGTGCATTAGATTATACTTAGTGGCAATCATAGTGAGGGTTAAGTCGGCAAAGGCATAACACTTATAGGTTGGACACACACTTAGTAGATTGCAAAAGCCTCCCTATCTTTCTTCTAATCGTCACAGTGCTACACGTATAGCTGACATCTACCGAGTGATCGATCGTATTAAAGAAAGCAAACGAAGAAAAGTAACACAAAAAAAGGCAACTGAAATTGATCGCACGAATTGTAAGTCAGACGAAGGTTCGAACGTGAGCGTTTACAATGCATAGGAGATATCACCATGCGGAAGAAAGCCAGCTTAATATTTTGCTTTTTCTGAACGAATCATAATAAAATGGATTGGAACTTTAACATGAGACCTCAGTATTGGAATGATGCGAGATATTAGTCAGTGTAGATGTTTTCAACAGACGCCTGCCTTTAAACCATTATTCATTTAGCTATGAACGAAAGTAGATGGAGTGTTTTTTAACCACGACTTTTAGGTCAATATATTTTAACTCTGGACTTAAATGCGTGTTATACGTGTGCTTTATTGTCGATGTCATATTTTTAGTTTTTTTTTTTTTTTCTTTGTTAAAGCATAACTCAACAAAATCTATCTAATTTTGTCTAAAGTCATTTTGCGCACATCTGAACCGGACATGATGAAAAATGATTGCAAAAATAGTTGAATAGCATGTACCCAGGAGAAAAGAGATAAGTTTCCAACGTCATAGCGTAAAAAATTTGAAATCAATAAATTATAAACAATAGAAAACAAAAACAAAATAATAGATAATGTTTTATTTAAATAATAAAAACAACAATTGAAATGAAAACAACAAGCAAAACAATAAAGAAAAGAATAAACAAAAACGTGTAAATATATATGAACAAATGAATTTGATGAATAAATGAAAGAACACAAAATGATTTCACGTTCTGAAAACTCTTCACGTGATTCTCAGGAGTCATGCTACGCGAACGATAAAATCTCATTACCACTTACACGGTGCAATAGCGTCGATAGTAGTGCAAATTTAATGTTAAATATACACAAAACGGCGACAGTGAAATACAATGCTTTGCCGGCCATAAAAGTAACAAAAACTATTCGCATACAAGTCGATAACAATGATCACGACGATGAAGGAAATAATGGTATAACTAATACGGTATTTCAGGAAAATGGTTGCATTGCGGCTAACATGTCTGCAATTAAAACAATTGATCAAACGAAAGATGCAGTAAATAAAAGACGTCATTCCGAATATGTGGTGTCGTTATCGTCGGCGCATAATAATGATAAGTTAATAAATTTAAATTGTCATCATCAATCATCGCCCCGGCCGGTGTCCTTTGTTCAAACGAAATTAACTAAGAGCGGCTATGTAACATCCCTACAAATTCCAGATAGAGTAAATAATAGCAGCAATACAAAGAGTGCTACGACGACTGCTGCAGGCAGTGCTGAGAAGAGTGATAAGAATTTACTTTGGTTGAAATCTTCTAAGTAATTTTTTATTGCATTCTATTTCCGGTGCTCGCTCACTCTTTTTTGTTTAATTTATTGCTTTCTTCTTTTTCTTTTCCAGTTCTCCCAATAATCTATGTAATGGTGGCATTTCCGGTAATCATATGCTGGCTCCTAAAGTGCCTAACAATAGCAGTCCCAATGGCCACAAAAAAGGTCCTGTATCGCTATCACATTTACCGCAGCGTCCTCCAGTCGATATTGAGTTTTGCGATATTTCGTATTCGGTATCTGAGGGGAGACGGCGGGGTTTTAAAACAATATTGAAGAGTGTCTCGGGCAAATTTCGCAATGGCGAACTTACCGCCATTATGGGCCCTTCGGGAGCGGGAAAAAGTACGCTTATGAACATATTGGCCGGCTACAAGTAAGTAGACATTCTCCACATAACTTAATTTCTTTTATTAGACTTTCCCACAGCATTCGCTCTCTGATGATTAAAACATAAACATTGAATGTCCTCGCACAGTTGGAAGATATCTCACTAAGTTTAAAATTGGGCCGGGGGTTTGTACATCGCAATGATCTAGAATTTAACCGCACAATCAAAAAGATAAGGGTCACGAGCGTCAAGTTCATGCTCAAATTCAATGTGACAGACCATATTTGATCGTGGCTAAAGTGATTGCTCAGTAGGTAAAGGCACACAACACTTACCGATCTGGAAATGTTCCACTAGGTTTCGGCCATCCTACCTGTTTCCTTCTCTTTACGCACTTCTTTCCGTCCAGGACTATGTATTACACGTATATAGATATGTGGACATTACCTGAATGATTGATCATATTAAAAGAGAGAAAAACGAAACATATAGAGAGCCGGTACTAGGGATATACAAAGGGGTAGTTTTCCTCCTCAGATTTTGAAGAAATATCGTTTTAACTTTCTTCCAATTCTAGTTAATTTTTGTTTTCCTTTCTTTTCCTTCTCTTTTATAGAACTGCCCAACTTAGTGGTTCAGTTTTAATTAACGGCAAAGAACGAAATCTGAGACGTTTTCGCAAGTTATCCTGTTACATTATGCAGGACGATGTTCTTATAGCTAATCTTTCGGTACACGAAGCCATGATGGTTTCCGCTAATTTGAAATTAGGTAAAAATATGGATTTAGCCGCTAAAAGGGTAGTAGTAGATGAAATACTTGAGACTATCGGTCTTATCGAATCGAGCAGTACTAAAACTTGCAATTTATCTGGTGGCCAACGCAAACGTTTATCAATTGCTTTGGAATTGGTTAACAATCCGCCTGTAATGTTTTTCGACGAACCCACCTCAGGATTGGACAGTTCTACATGTTTCCAATTGATATCGCTGCTAAAATCATTGGCCCGTGGAGGTCGCACAATTGTCTGCACGATTCATCAGCCTTCGGCTAGGCTGTTTGAGAAATTCGATCACCTTTACATGTTAGCCGAAGGTCAGTGTATGTATGAAGGACATGTTCGGGGCTTGGTACCATTTTTAGCCTCTTTAGGCTATGATTGTCCTTCATATCACAACCCCGCTGATTATGTATTAGAAGTCGCATCTGGGGAATATGGACATTGTGTACCGAAGTTGGTGCAAGCGGTTAAGAGCGGGATGTGTAAAATTTATAGTCAGAAAAATTACGGTCTCAATTTAGCCAAAGATATTAATAATGATATTATTAAGGGTAATGGAAGTAATACCAATAACACCAATACTATAGCAACAAATGAAAATTCTACTTATACGACGATAACAATAGAAGATGAGAAACACAAATTAGGTGAGCCGATAACAATGTCCGATCTTGAAATGAATACAATAAGTAATAATGAGGCAAGTGAAAGCGGCGGAGTTGGTGACGGCGGTGGTGGTGGTGGTGGAGGTGGTGGAAGCGACAGTGTACTTAAGCCACCGAAATTAGAAACCCAACAAAGTCAACAATCCGAGTGCACTGTTATTAACATGCAACGAATCGGCGATAATGGTTTAGATGATAGTTACAGTTATAGTTCCAGAGATGGTCATAGTGCTAATGCCCTTAACACTAATACCGGCTTGAGTGGAGCAAGCAATTCCAATGTCGGCGGCGTTAATAATTCGGCCGCGGCCGGCACTGGCGGTTGCACTACATCGCTCTTAGACTCCCACGAGAGTGTGATAACATTGCCCAATAAATCCGGTTTTCCCACCAGTGGTTGGACGCAATTTTGGATATTGCTTAAACGTTCCTTTGTTACTATAATGCGCGATGGCATGCTTACGCACATGCGTTTAGCGTCACATATCATTGTGGGCGCAATAATAGGCATGATTTACTATGATGTTGGCAATGAAGCGTCGAAAGTGATGAGCAATGCCGGTTGCATATTCTTTACCACGCTGTTCACTATGTTTACAGCCATGATGCCAACAATTTTGACATGTAATTGAAAGAAGCAATTAAAAGAGATAAGTTCCCATTATTAATGATACGCTCTTCTTTACTCTTTACAGTCCCCACAGAAATGTCAGTGTTCGTCAGAGAGCATCTCAATTATTGGTATTCATTGAAGGCTTTTTATTTTGCGAAAACAATGGCTGACCTGCCATTTCAGGTGAACAATCTTTTTAGGATTAAAGATTACATGAAAGTTTTTCCTTAAATAATGCTTTAAATTTTTCATTCAGATTATTTTCTCTAGTGTTTATTGTCTGGTTGTTTACTATTTAACATCGCAGCCGATGGAAGTTCATCGCGTCACAATGTTTGTTGTTATTTGTGTTCTAACCTCGCTGGTGGCGCAATCCTTGGGTCTTTTAATTGGCGCCGGTATGAATATAGAAACTGGTGTTTTCCTTGGGCCAGTCACTACGATACCAACAATATTATTTTCTGGATTTTTTGTAAATTTCGACACCATACCTGGGTACCTGCAATGGGTTACTTACGTTAGCTACGTGCGTTATGGATTTGAGGGTAATTGAAATAAAGCGTCTCCCATTAAGAGTGATACTGGTTGAGAGTTAATTTTTTCAAAATTTCAAAGAAAACAAGTAAGAAGCTAAGAAGGGACTGAAACAACAGAAAAGAAATCCATTCTTATACCCGATATGATAGGCCCGAGGCGTATGATTTTTTCTATTTTCAGAATACAAGAGATCATTTTTATGGTCTAGGCGCTAGCTACTTTATATATAAGTAAAAAGCAAAAAACAAGGAAAGCAAAGGTGTTCGCAGGTTTCGTTTCATAGACGGCTGGGGTGTTGTAGGCTCTTGTATCAACTTTAGTTCCTTTTTTGGCGAGCTTAGTTCCATCTTGCTTTATACTCTTGCCTCCCGTGTTATTAACTACCGTTGCACGCGTACGCGCCTCCTATTAAAATGTGTTCTTTTTCGAAGTAATGAACAATCAGTGTAGACTAATGAAATAAATTCTTAGACTAAAAATTGGAAAAGTCTTTGAGCACTAGCATCACAGGCTATCGTTTCTCTTTTAGAGAAGAACATTAGATATTAGACCTAATAGCTTTCATAAAGTAATATATTGTATTGCTATTGCGTTCTTTAGCTGAGTTTAGGATGTCCCTAAGATTAGTTGCCCCAAATACAATAATTCTAGCAAAGGAAAAGTTAAGGCTGTCACAAAGAATGTATGCAGTCGCCGTTCGATCAACTTACGCATTTCCCAACATGATATGACTGGGTAACCAAAGCATTTTAGTTTTATCGCCCGATGTTGTAATAATATTCCTTAACTTGTTGATGGTGCCATCTCTCGAAGCAGAAGGATTCCGTATAGTTTGCAATACAAACAAACTATAAGTAACGTATAATGTGCAGCTACTTTCCGACTTACAGTAATTAGCTTCTGTAGTTGTTAGTGAACAATTCTAATGTTACTAAAAAAAAAAAAACTCTATACATCGATGTTCAAATGTCCGCCGCGACGGACATATGTAATAAATTTCTCTAAGCGTTCAGGAATCATGATTGGCTTCATTGATATTTTCAAACAATATTATATTTAAAATTGGATATTGGAATGTTAAAAAGTATCGCTCTTAATGTAAGACACTTTATAAGATAAGTAATTATGGAAAAGGAAACTAAATCTCTTTTCATATAGGAGCTATGGTCTCAATTTATGGAATGGATCGGGCCAAATTACAATGCAACGCCATGTATTGCCATTTTCGTAGTCCGAAAAAATTCTTAGAAGAAATGTCTATGGATCAAGCCGAATATTGGATCGATGCTGTAGCTCTAATTGGTACATTTATAGGACTACGAATTATTGCTTATTTTGTATTGCGCTGGAAATTGCATATGATACGTTAGATAGACATTAGTTGAAAGGGTAAAGTAAAGTAACATTTCACGTTGAATTATTGTTAGAACGAATATAGAAACATGCATGTGTGATATTTAAGTTTTACAAAGCAATTCATAAACAAAACAAAAACATTTATCAATTTTTTTTTTTTTTTTATTACATTTCAAAAGAAAAGAACAAAACAAAACAAATTGAAACAATACTCTAGCCTTAGGTGCATTATGGTATTATTGTAGAAATTGTGTTATATTACATAGGATTCCTAATAATATTATAATAATTTTTTGTCAGATTCACATTTCACAATTATAAAGTATTCGTTTTTGGTGCTTTACAATAATGGCATTCTATTATTTTACCTTCTTTTTTTTTTTTCTTCAAATTTTCGTTTTATTTTATTTTTCATATGTAATATAAAAAAAACACAAGGAGAAAAAAAATGTTAATTTTTTGTATTATTTAACAGCTTAAGGTGATGTAATTTAAGTTTATAAAATTTAATATAATAATAAATTGTAAAAAAAAGGAGAAAACCAGGATTTTTAAAAAGTACTTGTACTGATTTTTATTATTAACCAAACCCCTTCCTCCAACCACTTCCCCCCCCCCGCAATCCTTAGGAAAACAAACTCCTTCAAACGAATAGATATAAAGTTTGTGAAAATACGGATAAACAATTCGAAAGTTTGTATGACAGTTTTTAAGAACATACATAAAAATCAAAAAATGTATATCTTTCTCTTAATCCATTTCAAAAATATAATATACCCGTATTCAAAGACCAATAGTATATACGAAAATATACACAGAAAGATATACATGTATATCAAAACCCCACAATATATAGTCTGATATATACGATTATTACACCGCAACTTATTTCAAAAAAAAATAAATAAATAAATAAAAAATTTAAAAAAACACTTCAACACAACGGTTATATATACATAAATAGATAATTACCAAAAAATAGATCGTTTTAAAATCAGTAAAATTGAAATCAACATTTTTCGAAAACCAGTAAAGAAAACCAATGTATTATAAAAAAAGAAAAAATGTTTCCGTCCTTACGTTTCATTGTTTTCAAGAATTACTTTTTTCAAAATTTTTGACCTCTTTCTCTATCTATCTATCTATCTATCTATCTATCTATCCCTTTAATCGAAAAAAGTAGTTTAGATTTCATTACTAATATTTTGTATATAACATGTAAAGCGAAGCATGAAGATTCATTCGTTCAATCTTTACATAAATTTTGTGTTTAAATGAAGAAGAATCAACGATTGTCTTATCTCATGGGAGAATAATTTCACAAAATCACTGCTCACTTAAAAGTCATCAGCTTAGCTTTGAATTATGTACAATTATATCAATAATTATGTGGTTAACAATGAATATTGTCAACGTGAGTCCTAAGTGTTAGTGTGTATATAGTCAGAGCTAGGCGAATGATATATTTCTATGGCCTTGCTGGAACTTAATAGAAAACCAATAATTTTCTTCTTTTTTTTAATGAAATATGGCTTTGAGTTTAAACCCTAAACTAATCAAAATAACTAACGATTTCTACGACATCATACGAGGCATGCATGAGATGCGCATAGAACAAATGCATCTTCGCTCTGTCTGCCATTAAATATTAAAGTTATAATTTGGTGGCAGGTAACAAAAAGTTTACTCAATATTGACTACTTATATTAAATTATAATAAGCTGGTTATTCTAACATATATCGAAGCAATATTTTTATATATTTACAAAAAAAACTCTTTATCTAGAGGCCACAAGTTTGTCATAATAAAAAATACACTTTTGCTGGCCTCTTCCATGGCTTGTTTCTTTTATACCCACTAATTCTTTCTTTTTGATATTCTTCCTTAGAAAAGCGAATCACCTTTTGTTGAGTTACTAAATTCTAGAAGAAAGAGAAGAAGAATTAGAAATGTATTCGTTAAAAAAATTAGGCGAATTTGTTTATAAAATGAAAAATCTTTATTCATTCTTCCTGGAGGAAACAAGCCGTCATGCACAGCATTGCGGTAATCGTAGTCAATAAGTCCTCCTCGACTTTTGAACTTGTTCAGTCTTGATTCAACATTTCTACGATATTCAGGCGATTGGTCGTTTGCATAGATCCGAGTCTCATCTCCGGTAATGATATGTTTTATAACGTCCTGACAGTTAGAAGTCATTGCTTCACAGACAATTGCAACAATTGAAAAACTCACTTTTATATGTTTACAAAAATACGCGTAACTGTGTAGCAAGGGTATACATTAACACGAAACTCTACACAGATGATAAAGACTGTATTACCCGTAACCCATAAAACAAAAGAAATGATCTTATGACGTGCTTGCGTATTCACAATTCACCGCAAAATCACCTAATTTTTCTTTCACAGTATTATGTTAACTTTGAAAAATCGCAATACGCTACAATCAAACACACTGATAAATATCAATAGTAAACAATTTCATGATTATTGCTATTTTTGGGTTCGGCGCCACTATTTTTGAAACTTGAATGCAAGTCTCAATGTCCACAAGTAAGATACAAAATTTGAAAATAATTTAATTGGCCTTTAAAAAGCCGAGACTGTAATATAATTCATTCTTTGGTTACTATGAAATCCTTAATAAATCAAAAACTTGCAAAATTTTGAGTAGCACCACACTCAGCTTCAAAGTTATTTATAACATCAATAAAAAATTGGAAAAAATTCTGGCCAGGACTGAATCATTCTCATATTGATCATATGCAGGCATTCAATCATTTAAACCTCGTTTGAAAGTCAAATTTTTGTTTGCTTGAAACCGATCATCGTTATATGCAAAAACTCTATTGAAACGTAAAAAAATGTTGGAGCATTTCTTGGAGATAAAAAGATAATAGAATAGTTATATCGTAGATTACTAGAAAATACCGCGAAACGTGATTAACATACGATATTAGAAACGGTAATTTTTCATAATTTGCCAAAAAGGATTCGAGAAAGCTAGAAAATGTTCATAAGAAAAAATTTAGTAATAAAAACATAAGATGCTAAGCATTGTTTTATTTCTAAGAGAAATGAAAAATTGTAAAGTTTTAAGAAGTTTTGTGTCGATAAATCAGAAAAAATTTCGGAAGGAGTTTCAGTAATGACCTAAAGAAACATTCGCGGCATTCCATTGTTTACGCCGATAACACTTTATGAATTCATAATTTTTTATAATTTATTTCTACAGTATAATCATGTAAAAAATCGAATATATTCCAGCCAAGAGAGGAGTATAGAAAATATGGTTATTCTAACTTAACCATTCTGCTTTTAAGAAGTTTCTAATTCAGAATTTCAAAAGTTCCACTAAGCGTAAAGAGAATCGAATAAGGTCAAAAAATGGTTAATTCCCCTCTCTAAGAGGCAAATCCTTCCCTTCAAGACAATTGGAAATACTTTTTAAGATGAGCTCTCTTTCTATAAAATGAAAGTTTAAAATTTATTTTGCAAATAATATTTCTGTACATTTTTACTTTAAAAATTGCGAAATTATTTCGTAAACTTAAAATATCTATAAATACTTGTTTTCTGTGTCGTATTCTAAAATATCAGCGCAAGATATTACTGTCTCTTTTAAGTACCACGCTTAATGCTTACATTTTGAACGGGTTTGTTTAAACTCCTTTGAAATTACTAAAGGCTATTACCTAATAGAACTTATCTTATTGTTGTTCATTCTATCTAACAATCCTAAAGCTTAAAATATTTTAAGAAGCTTAATATAAAAAAGTGAAAAGTCGCAATTCTAAACATCTCTCGCATGCAATCAATTATCTCGCTCTTTTCGCAAGCAAGCGTTATTTCGTTTGAACAAAAGTAATCAACTATTGATATTTTTTATTATTTTTTTAATAGAATTAATATTTTTAATAAATTTAAAACACATTCCATAAAAATCGCAATAAAATAAAATCAATAATAATTAAATATACAAAACGAAAAACTGAGATTCGATTAATAAAGCTTTAGAATACATAAAATGCAGAGTGATAGTAAAAGTTTGTGCAACAAACTTTCTGTGAGAGAAAAAATGATAAAGAAGATGAAATCAAATAAACATTAGGAGTACATTTTAAGCAAAACCATCTACAATCATAAATCAAGTAGATATAGAAAAAAATTAATTTTAGGAAAAATTTCTCATTAAAATGTTTATAATAGACAAAGAAGTTATATAAAGTTGGCTCCAAAAAAAGTTTGCTGTTGCGATTAGCAGTCAATTACCGACAAAATGCATTTAAAATCAATGTACTTTGAACACTGAATGACTCAAATATTTTGATTTATATTTTTTCCTGCTAATCCATGACTTTGATTTACTTTTTTAATATTATTATTTTTATTTGCAAGTTGCCTTGCAAACTATTTCTTAGGAATTTTGTATAATTTCCTCTCATATAACAGTGTAATTAACAATAAGTAAATTTATATTTGACCTAAGAGTATAACGTATGTTAAAAGTGAATAAACATTTGTTTTTTATAAAAAAAAAAAAAATTATAATTTTCATTTAGCTATGCAAAAAACAGCAAAAACCGTATGCAATATTTACATAAAGTTATGTTTATTCTTAAGCAACGATATCATAGAAATAGCTAACTAATCAGAGACTCGTGTTAAATATATAGAGACAAACGTACATAATTAGGACATTCACGTGCAGACACATACACAATACATACCATACAAATACAATTGATTTTATAAGTTAAGCTTGAATAATACAAGTAATAAATAATATGAAACTAAATTGAAAAACTAAAAGGATTAAAAAATAAAACTTAAATGAAATAAACAATATCGAAAATAAATTTCATTTATTTCGTTTCATCGCATGCTATCAATTTTACATATAATATTAATTATGATATTAATATAAATCAAATTCTCTTTATGTGACGAATAAAAAATGTACAAACGCTGAAACAGAACCTTTTTCGTATTTAATAAGATAAGAAGAAGGTTTTCTGCTAAACTTTGCTATCGTTTAACCGCCTTTTTCTCTTTAATGATAGTTACCATCTTTAACTTAAATGGTGCATAGAAAATTTATTAGATATGTTCGAGCACAATATATATCACCATTACTCGTTACGTTTGGAATTGCGCTAGAGAATGCCATATATTGTATTATACGGTCTACAATAGCATATTATTATAATGCTAACATTAATTGATACGTCACACACCGCATCTCTATATCATCAATATTGACAGCTTGACGGTGTAGGCTCTCAAATTTTCTTTTTTTTTCACTTATTTTGTCACTAATATTTTGCATAAAATAATTCAAGCATTGCCACAGTAACAAACAGAAAAAGTTTATTTCTGGCAATGTTTGAAATAGAAATAAAATATCAAAGAATAACAATAGATGAGACGGTTATTAACTGTATATTGAAGTATTAAAAAAGAAAATTAATTTTGAAATATATTAAAAATGGCCGCACTCGCGCCTTTCTCGCTAAGTACCTTTAATGTAATGTAATGTTTAGCGCTGCTTGGCGGTTTGAAAAATCGTCTTTTGACAACCGCGCGTTTGAAGTTCTAAAATACGCTATGGACTCTTATTTATGGTAACAAATCGGTTGTCATTTTCTTCCAAAAATGTGCTGCCATGTTCTGGCTCGTTTTCCTTCCCTTTTCAAAGACATACACGCACGTTTTACACTTTACGTGCTGCGATATGACAATGAAAGAGACAAGAAAATTTATAATTTTATGATCGAATTCATAGCAGAGGCAATAAAATCCTTCCAACCTTTCTTCTTCTTCTTACAAGATTCAGAAAATCAACTTCACGCAAGCTACACTTACGTGTTCTTGTTGAGAAATGGTTTGTAAATGAACTGAATGAAGCATTTTTCAAAGTCATCTTTAAGTGTATCCGAGATGTTAAAAATCAACATATAAGAAATTAGGCTGTAACTTAGCAGGAGCGATTAATTTCGCACTGCTTAAAGAATAACCTGGAATTTACAAGAACAAATTGTTTTTAGATAGTGATATTTTTCCTACATATGCCAAAAGATTTAAACCTTAATCATATTTGCGTCCAGTAGAATGTTTACAACAAACATTACAGGCAGACACTATACAATGCCCTAAAAGTACATTGAACGATAGGTCGATAAGTGGCGTGCACAAACCATGCAATAAATCTGTCAGAGCTTGAAGTAATCTATAGGTTCTCAAACAAAATTGCAATGCAACGTAACACAATCCGATATAATACAATGTAATATTAAGCAAACCAATCGAATCTAAGCCAATCTAACGCTTAATCAGTCAGACGAATAAAGTTACTATCAATAAGGAAGACTCTACTATCCGCATATATCGTAGATGTTTTGTTGTTACAATCTTATGCCAAATGAAGATTTTGCTTTGCCCCTCAACGCCTTTATTGTGAAACTGTGAATAGAAATCATTCGAGATAAAAACAGCAGGCATATCGTAAAAATTTTCTTAACGCATACTTTAGCTTAAAGTAACCGGATATGTGTGAACATTTAAACAAATCGAAGCAAGTTTTTTCGTGCAGTGTACTTGTCTTTATATGTATATGTATAATTAACTATTATTTATTTACTGTATATGTATGTCAGTATGTATTTACATGAAGCTTACATACTTAGCATTCTTATTTAACAACAAGTGCTTTTGCTAGCCTCGTTGTAGATATATTGCTTATATACGTGCGTGTTGTTTTCTTCTTCAAATGCCTGTCAGTGTGTTATGTTGTTTTATGTTTTCTACGTGTAAGCAATCTCTCGAGCTTTATATACTCAAATTGTGCAAAAACATAGCAACGATAACTCACTTGGAAAACAAGCACAAACAACAAATAATGAAACTCTTGACTGCGGTTACAAATTTTCATTTAGTCATTACACGATTTAGTTTAGTATTGGTTTTGCATACAATGGAATGTAAAGCGAAGAAAGCGGATGTCTTATGAGTGACTGTCTGTACCAAAAGTTTTCGGGAAATTAGGAAAGTGTTGTTTACTCGATGCGTTTTTTATATTACAAAAAAAAAAAAAAAAAAATTAATAAAACAAAATATATAACAAGATAATAGAGGCCAATGCCCTTTAACAACAATATAAATATATAAATGTATATGTGCCGGCTTAACAGTTATTATTATCATAGTTGTGTTCATGTTTATGTTCATCTAAATACAAAAATATTTGTTATATTTTTTATGCTCCAAGTTTTAATATACATTTTATATCCGCCATGTTCAGAAGAAATTCTAAAAGCAATCAAAAAAAATACAAATTCGATATAAATCTTTTATTCGCCGATGATCAGTGAGTAAATAAAAAAAAAAAAAATTAGATAAAGAAAATTTCATGAAAATTCTCCGCTGCATAAGAATAATCCAATCATTTGTTGCAGAAGTAAATCTTTGGCAATTGTTGCTTAAACCTGCAAGCATTCATTAAATTTACTATAGCAATGAAATATTGCTCAATGTTAAGTGGTAGCAGCAATAGCAGCAGGCATTCCCAACAGAAACCGGTTGCTATTGGATTTTTCAATTCAGTTCAGTTTGTTTTGCAATAGCATTAAATTCGTTTACCAAATACACTGCAGCACGAGCGCAGGGAAAATTACATTCACTTTTTAAGAAAAAATTAATTAATGAAAATTTTTGCACTTATTGGCTACTATAGGAATGTCATAAGGGTTTTGCCGATGCCCAACGATCGAATAATAAAGGCATATGGAGTACCCCCTGGCAAAAAGTTTGAACTAATTATGATTTCACGCGAGCAGCTGGGTTTACTTCGGTTGTTTTTTTTTTTTTTTTTTGTCTAGGAGCTTGTAAATCGAGACATGCTCGAAAATGGCGAGTCATGAAAAAAATCCACTTTAAAACTTGTTCGCATGTTAAACCAGTTATTATCATATAACGATTTTACAAGGGCGTGTTATCAAGTGTGATGATTTATAGGCCAAGCTGCTAAGGCGAGTTTGGACTACTAGGATGTATGATGCACCTGAAATTTAGATACCGAATGACGGTTTATTGATTAGCCACCGCTTGACAAACTAGAAACGTAATATAATTCAATCTGTTACATGCAATTTTAAACGAGCAAAACCATTGTATATGCCACACCAGTTCGCTTAATGCGCTTAATTATGTGACGACTTTTCAAAATAAGGCGTTGCGAAGGAAGTGCTCCAAAAACTGGTTCCGAACCATATTTAATAAAGTTCATCTCTAGACCAGAGCACGTCAGAGTACCAAATTCCATCAGAGGTCGATCGGTGTACTACTAAAAGGTTCATCCATTTCATACATCCACACGTACTTAATATACTCTTGTAACACAAGTAATGCAAGTAGTGCAACTATTTATCATTATCGTATATGAAATCACGTTTCCACGTTCACTTATCATGCAATGTGAAATTCAAAAACTATCCAAAATAAACTTTTAACAGATATGTACATATGAAACCGGAGTTTCCGCATACTTTTCCAAATAGTTGCAACTACTTTTGCTAACAATGACAATGTCGAGCTCTGGAGATGAAAATTCGATTTATTTTGAGAATACCAAACGAAAAAATCACGAGTCGGTCCAGACGTACCGCCCACATCAATCGCGAGACTTAAGCGCTTTCGCGCAAAGACAATAGTCTACATTTATCAAATCCAATAATCGGTTTGCAACGTTCGTTTTTCAAAACACGAGAAAAACGTTTCTAAATCGATGCACGACCCGTTGCACTCAAATGGGAAATTCTATCTTATTCTGCATATTCGCCAAACTTAAGTCCTCTCAGTTATCACTTGCTTGCGTGGAACGCGTACTTCTTGGGCACTTCTTCTCCTGAGCCTGACTTCTTACGAAAACTGCTCGATGAAAGGTTTGCTTCAAAAAACTAACACCTTTCACACACACACACACGTTCACATATTGCCACAGTAATGAAAATCTTTCTAATACAGTATAATAAAAGTGTATTTTCTATATGTACTTTCCAGTTAAATACATGTATGCGTAGTAGATTTTTGCATTGCTTCTCAGGATATGCGCTACATTTTTCACAAAAAAATTTTTCTACATGTGTTACGTGTGATTTCCATGAATAGCGTAGGATGATGTTCGAAACTATGGCACTGCTCTTAGTTGTCCATAGTTTTTCCTAGGACTTTTGCAAAAACAAAAGTTATTTGCAATAGCTTAAAAGAAAAAGTTCGTGGCGTTCTTTCGTTAAAATTCAAACATAATATTCTTATATATATTAGATCGACTTTATTAAGCCAAATATGTGCCGTTTCAATCGATACCCTGCTTTTGCCATTTTTCTGGTCAAACCATCACTGCCGAACTGTGACCAAAAACTAAACCAGATGACTTTCACAGACTGGAGGAATCCGGCATCAATTTCCTATTAACATCGAATACCAGCGCAATTAGTGAACAACGTCGCTAATAAGAAAAAAACAATTTTTGATAAAATTATTTCGAACAATAAGATTTCTTGACCAGTTCCAAGTAGTTGTTTGTTTATCATTCAAGTTCTTTATGCGACGCAAATCACTTACCCTAGTTTTTCTCATTCACTGCATCCTCCATATTGCATACGTTTGATAGTTTTGATTACGCTTCTT